CGAGAGAGAAAGCGAGTGGCAGGAAGACGCACCTTTTTCCAAGTTTCTGTCCAATCTTTACAGACCAGTCCTCCACTCGTTCGCGAACGAGAGCCTTCAGCGGCGCAATGTAGATGCACTTCAAAAGGAAAAGGAAATTGAGGGAGAATAAGGAGACACAAATGGAGTCACCGTAAAAAAAAATTATAGATAAAAGTCGTTGCTGAAAAATCCTCTAGCAAAGCAGGACACACGATAGTGCGCAGCAGTCAGAAAGGGATGACAGACTACCTCGGTGACGTCTTCCAGGTATTCGAAATCTGAGGCCTGCAGATCATGAGCTCCCAGTTTGACATAAATTGAGATCCGAAGAGTAGCAATTTATTTATACGCTTTTCGACAAGCCTACAGCTGCTGGCTTCTTGTGTGCAATTATTAAAAGAACCTCTTTTTAATTTTCCTTCTTTTTGGCTGTCCAACGACTGGTGGTTGATTTTGCATGCAATTATGCTACTTTCCACACTAAACTCTATCTCATTTTCATGTCTGGAAGACAGTGAGCCTACTTCACTGAGGCAGTCATTCGACTCAGTTCTTACTGGGATAGCTTGTGTTCGAAATATCTTTTCCTCCTACCAACTTGCCGATTCATTGGCACACGTTATCGAGATGCCTTTCCTCCTACAACGTGCCCGCTCAATGGCACACGTATTCGAGTTCAAGAGCATATCCTTTTCTCCTTCCACGTGATGGCTCACTGGTAAACGTTGTCGAAACCACAATAGCACATTCTCCGGCTAATGCCAAAAGCGCAATTCAGTACAGGTTGCGGGCATCGGCCTAGACTCCAACACGAACAACTATTGTCACACACTACAAACGCTCTTCAACCCGCATGTGCACTGGACAATTTCCTTCTTTTCATCGTTCGCTCACGTTCGATATATTCACTTCGTTCTGTGTCTGACGGGGAGCTGTGACGGACGGCCACAATGCCTGCCCCTCCCCCACCCCCCTTTGTTTTGCAATGCCTACGCCCCCCAACGTCATTTGTCATTCCACGCAGCTGTTCGACTTGCTGACCTGAAGACAACTTGACTGACATTCACTTACTCATACACGTGATCCACACCCGCGCCTACACACGCGTCCAAATAAGCACACCTGCCTAAGTGCTACTCGAACACGCCAACCTACAGCCATGCAGCAGAGGGCCTTTGCAGGCAACATCCACTCGGGTAATCGCAACACACTTGCTTCACAATCCTACTTAAGCAACTGTCATCACCCCACACAACACTCATTCGAAACTTTAAGGCCTGGCTGGACGCAGTCAGGACCAGCCCTGGCTTCGCCAGTGGTCACTG